GGACAACTAAAAATATATAGAAAAAATTAGCCGGGCATGGTGGCGCATGCCTGTAGTCCCAGCTACTCGGGAGGCCGAGGCAGAAGGATTGCTTCAGCCCAGGAGTTTGAGGTTGCTGTGAGCGAGGCTGATGCCACGGCACTCTAGCCTGGGCAACACAGTGAGACTCTGTCTCAAAATAAATAAATAAATAAATAAATAACCCTGCTATTAAGAAGTGCACCAGCAGCCTCAGCATATCTAGAAATAAAGATTATGATTCTTACTCTCAATTGTCTAGAAGTTCCCAGTTTATGATCTTGCAAATGGAGTATTCCCTGCATTTAAAATGGCAGGTTAAGGGAAGAAACAATTGTCCAGCTTTACTCCAATTCTTATTCCTTATGAATTAAAGAGCTCGTACACACCACCCCCAAATAAAAATGAACATTAGCGTGATTTAAAAAGTGAATTTTTAAACACTCTTGGTTCAAGATGAAAAAACACAAAGCTTTCAAAAAATAAAGATAATCATTTTTAAAAATAAAAAGTTTTGCTCTTATTTAATAGGAAAAGAGTGAAATTACACCAGATATATATTAGCATAAAACACCATCAGAGAGAAACACAGGGAAATACACATAAACAGCACAAGTTTACAATAGAGGTGTTCTAGCTTCCAAGGCTACAGAAGCCAAATACATAAAGAAGAAAAACTTGGAATTACCCTGGTCTTAAAGGATTCTTTTGAATCTCAGGAAAGTTTGAATAGCATTAATACAGAACCAAAAAAAGTTCAAAGACCTTGATTTCTAGTTTTGACTCTGATATTTTTGAAGAGAGATACTGAAAAAGTCATCCAATCTCTTTAAGCCTCAGCGATCTCATTTATTTATAAAGCACTGAGGTAAAGGTAACAAATTACAAGGAGAAAAATCAATTTCCAATTACTTGGTGGTCTTACATAATAGAAGTTTCAGGTACAAACCTCTTGTTGCAGCCTTTTTAGTTCCATTTCCATTTGCTCAAGTTCTTGTTTACAGTCTAATAACTGTTCAGTCTTTTCCTCTCTTAAAGAAGGCAAAAATATATTTATTAAAGAATTTATCATACTACTTTTAAAAACTATGATCATCTGCATTAATACAAATGTATTATCACTCTTAAGTAAGTAGTCGAACACAGTATTAAACACAACCTCAACCAGGGGGAGAAAAAAAACCCAAAGAAATGGATATTAGGAATTTATATGATCACATGTCATCATTCAAATTCTCCTCTTAATGTTTTCCAAAGGCTAACCTCAATGACTAACGTCTTCATAGTTCATAATGTGGTTTCTCTTTCTCTTTTCATCTTTCCTGCTAGCCCCCCACCACCACCCCTGTCCCCTTCGACCCCATTCTCCTTTCTCTCTTTCTCCCTCCCTCTCTGCATAGTCACAGACAAGCTGGATGACTTGTTATGCAAGGAAATATGACCTGGGTCTGAGACTTCTAAGGATCTCTAAACTATTTTCAACATTTACAGTGGCCTAAAGTTAATAATCCACTTCCTATTGTCATACAGATTCCTAAAATCTTTACATCTCTACGGGTTTCTGCCCTATAGCATATAAATATCATCAAATTTCATCTTTTTTTTCAGACAAAGACTCACTCTGTTGCCCTGGGTATACTGCAGTGGTGTCGTCATAGCTCACTGCAACCTCAAACTCCTGGGCTCAAGCAATCCTCCTCCCTCAGCCTCCCAAGTAGCTGGGACTACAGGTGCGCACCACCGCGCCCAGCTAATTTTTCTATTTTTGGCAGAGATGGGGTCTTGCTCTTGGCTCAGGGTGGTCTCCAACTCCTGAGTTAAAGCGATCCTCCCGCCTTGGCCTCCCAGAGTGCTAGGATAACAGGCGTGAGATACTGCTTTACCTCTAAACTTCCATTTTTCTATCTCTCCTTCAGAGCCAAGCTCCTCAACCATATTTTTTTTGTTTTTAAGGGACAAGGTCTTGTTCTGTCACCCAGGCAAGAATGCAGTGGCATGATCATAGCTCGCTACAGCCTTGAACACCTGGGCTCAAGTGATCCTCCTGCCTCAACCCCCTAAGTAGCTGAAACTACAGGCGCAGGCCACCATGCCTGGCTAATATACATGTTTTTTTCTTTTGTAGAGACAGGGTCTCACTATGTTACCTAGCTGGTCTCGAACTTCTGGCCAGCCACAAGCAATTCTCCTGACTCAGTTTCTGAAGTGCTGGGATTTCAAAACCATAATTTATAATGTTGGAGAAATACTTTCTTTGATAGAGAAACCATAATTTATTAAGTAGATTCCATTTTTTACTATAATACATACTTTTTTGGCTAACGAAGTCATTAGTATACATAAAATCCTGTATATTTCAGGATAGCTTTCTTTCTTTTTTATTGTAAGAAACAGAGGCCTTGCTATGTTGCCCAGGCTGGCATCAAACTCCTAGGTTTAAGCAATTCTCCTGTCTTAGTCTCCAGAGTAACTGAGACTACAGGTGCGTACCACCATGCCCAGCTTTCAGGACTCATCTCTAAAAGTGCATAACAGGTTGAAAGGTACTTGATACAGGCTTAGTATCTATCCCTTGTCCAAAATGTGTGGGATAAGAAGTATTTTGGATTTTGAACTACATTAAAAAAATATAAAAATCCGAAATATATTCACATCATATACTTATCTGGTTGAACAATCCTAATCTGAACATGCTCCAATGAACATTTCCTTTGAGCATCATGTCACTGTTCCAAAACATTCATATTCTGGAGCATTTCAGATTTCAGATGTTTGGATTAAGGATACTTAACCTATACATACTTTATGTCAAACTACCCCCCAGAAAGGCCATTACTAATTCACAGTGCAACCAGCAAAGGATAAAGGTGGCTATATGTGAAACAACTGAACAATTAAAAAATGTTGTGTTTGTCTTCCATGGCTGTGCCATTAAATTTTTTTCTTTTGTGAATTATTAGCTCATGTCATATTTCTAACTTTGTACTGGACGTTAGTCTTTTTCTTCCTGATAAAAAGTTATTACCTTTTGTGATTTATATTTCTTACAAATATTTCTATTTCTTTTTGGGCTGTGGAAAGCTTTTTAAAAATTAGCTTTTGAATTGTGGTAACATTTATAAAATTTGCTGGTCAGGATTACACCTGTAATCCCAGCACTTTGGGACGCTGAGGTAGGAGGATCGCTTGAGGCCCAGAGTTCAAGATCAGTCTGGGTAACATAACAAGAATGCCATCTCTCACTATAAATAAAAAAATTTTTTAAATTAGCTGGGTGTGGTGGCACACACCTCTAGTCCTGGCTACTTGGGAGGCTGAGACAGAAGGATCACTTGATCCTAGGAGTTGGAGGTTATCATGAACTATGATTGCACCACTGCACTCCAGTCTGGGTGACAGAGTGAGACCTCATCTCTAAAACAAATAAAATAAAAAGTAAAAACAATTCAAATGCCCATCAACTAATGAATGGCTGATCAAAATGTGGCATATCTATAAAATGGAATAGTATTCAACCACAAAAAAGAATAAAGTACCGATACATACTACAACATGGATGAAACTGGAAAACATCATGCTAAGAGAAAGAAGCCAGTCACAAAAGGCCATTTATTGTATGATTCCATTTATATGTGATATCCAGAATTGGCAAATACATGGAAACATACAGTAGATCAGTGATTGCCAGGAGCTGAGGGCAAAGAGAGATAGGGATTGACTGCTAATGGGTATGCGGTTTCTTTTGGGGGTGATGAAAATGTCTCGAAATTAGAACAGTGTGTGATAACTGCACCACTCTATGAATTAACTGAAAACCACTTAATTTTTTTGAGCACCCCTCCCTTCCTGAATTGTACACTTTAAAAGAATGAATTTTCTGATACATGAATTATATCTCAATAACGATCTTTAAAAAAAAAAAACGAAGAATTAATCATTTTTTGGTTTCTTTCTTTCTTTCTTTCTTCTCTCTCTCTCTCCCCCCCTTCCCTCCCTCCTTCCTTCCTTCCTTTCTATTTTTGAGATAGGGTCTTGCTCTATTGTCCAGGCTAGAGTGCAGTGGTGTACTTCATACTTCACTGCAACCTCAAACTCCTGGGCTCAAGCGATCCTCCTGCTTTAGCCTCCCGAGTAGCTGGGACTACAGGAACACGCCAGCACGCCTGGCTAATTTTTTAAATTTTTTGTAGAGATGGGGTCTTGCTATGTTGCTCAGGCTGGTCTCGAACTCCTGGCCTCAAGTGATCCTCCCACCTCAGTCTCCCAAAGTGCTGAGATTACAGGCATGAGCCACTGTGCCCAGCCAAAAATTAATAGTTTATAATAGAGAAAAACTCTTTCAAAACACGTAATCCACGGAGACAATTATTCAAGGAAATATTTAACAGGGTTAACTACTGCAATAAAAGTGAAACTTATTAAAAATTACTTTTTCCATCCAAACTGCAAATTGTACTTTTACTCTGTTTATAAATCAAAAGCAATAATATTATAATGTACTGCCCATAAATGAGGATGCCATTAGTTAATTTGCATGTTCTCATCACAATTATTTACTGTATAGTTTCCATTATCTATATAAGGAGACCTGGACTATTTTTGTCCACCATAATTTCTTCACTTACTTTAGTAAAGACCTGTCCCAATAAAAAGATGTAAAACAAATGTTAATAGAAGAAATCCCTGAAGAAACACATTTTCAAAGGACAACAAAGATATTAAACAGTATCTGATAAAATGCTAGTTACTGGAAATACTTGCTATATTATGGCATAGTTATTTGTCCATTAAAAATATCCATTTACATTTTCTAATCAGTATATATAAAACCAAATTTTATCAATCTCTCCAAGTTGTTTGGAATTTTAATATACTCCAGGGCCAACTAAATTTTATTTAAAAAT